TTTTTTTTTTAGCTTATCAAGATAAGCCTGCTCCTTGCAAGATTCCAATTTAACGCAGTGGTCGCCAACCAGTGGGCCGGGGACCACTGGTGGTCTGCGAGAACATTTTGCTGGTCGGCAGAGAAATGTCCCCCCCAAAGCAATTAATCCAGGCTGCGCGGGAACACAAGACATCGCCACCCACATGGCCCGCAGGAACATAAGGCTTGCGTCACTTGCATTGTGCACAGCATGAGGTAGTGAGGGGAGGGGGGAAAAGGCGGACGGGGGGAACTTGCCCCCCTTGTCCCCCATGCCTGCCCTGCCCACCGGGCTGCTTCTCTCTGCTTCTTTCTTCCTCTGCTTTTGGCTGCACGCAAAGGCCTCCTTTTGGGACCCTGCAAGGCCTCCTGCTCCAAGAGGCTGCACCAGCAAAGACTCATTTCTGGCAGAGTTTGGGGGAGAGAAAGAAAGAATTCTGCTGCTTTCCTTGCATGAAGCCAAAAGTCTCTCTCCCCCCCCCCCCCCCGAGAACGGAGCTGGAGACGGTATCCTGCGATCCCAAAGAAAGAATGATCGATCAGTAGGAAAATGGGGTGGGGAATTTTCCTGCAGACTTTTTGGAGGGATTTTCTCAGGGCCTCTGGCCCGTGGGATTTAAAATTATGAGTTTGGTGGTCCCTGAGGTCCAAAAGGTTGGCAACCCCTGATTTAAAGCATGTCAGGCACATGGCCCTCTAACCCAGGGGTCCCCACCCCCGAGCCACGATCCACTACCGGATTTTGAGCTGTTCACAACCTGGCCGTCTGAAGCAGTGGCTAAGCACACACGTGCATTCCACTTGCACGAGCAGTGGGTGAGCACAGGTGCACATGCTCCATTTGTGCGAACAGCAGGAGCACATGCCTATCACTTGTGCAAATGGAGCTGTGCACACATGTGCACTTACCTGCCACTTGCACAGAACCATCCGCTCTTTCCCCCACTGGTCCGCAAAGCCAAAAAGGTTGGAGAACTCTGCTCTAACCTATGCATGAAAGCTTCCAGTGATGAAGATCCACTACCGTTCCTCGCTTACCAATGACTTCTACTGTTGAACTGCTCTCACTGTTAAGATTTCTTTCTACAGTATCTTCAACTGCAATCAGCGTTCCTGTAATTTAAATCCATTATTCTATGTCCTATTTTCTGGCATAAAAGAGAGTACTGACGTCCACACAACTGAAAATTGCTGAGGTTGAAAAACATTTAATGTAGACAACAACAGGACCAGAAGACCAAAAAATGCTATACAATGCGATCATGTTTATATTCTTATCTTGTGCTATTACCTGGTTTTATGTGGAAGTTGTTTAGTTGGGGAATACAATGATGAATCACAAAGTCATTTGTGCGGCTACTTGGTTTAATCAAATTCTTATAACAACAGGTATCTGCTGTTTACCAAATTATCTATATTCATTAAAAGTAATTATGTCCATGTGCCTTAAATACAACATAAAACATTTTAGAGAATGAATAGGAGAATAAGTTGTAAAATTTAGAAAAGGCAGAGATTTGAAAATAGTGAGGTTATAAAGCTGTATGGGAAAAATCAAACCATATGAAAGGATGGCAAGTATTTAGTAAGTATCTAGCTTCCCACGACAGAGACATTGGGAACACTGAAGTCTATAGGACAACAGCTAGCTGTCTATATACTAGAATATTTGCTGAAAGGAACAAATGATTGCAAGGAAGATAGGGCTGTCAAACTCGCAGTCCGTGGGCCAGTTGCATCACGGGCTGGCCATGTCCATGCCCGGTTTAGTGGAAAAAAGTTGTGATACATCATGTGATGCTGCCGTGACAACACAAGTTTTACATCCTTGTACTAAAATGACAAGTATCTAAAGAGCTGTGGTGGCGCAGTGGTTAGACTGCAGTACTACAGGCTATTTCTGCTGACTGCTGATTGCTAGCAGTTCAAGTCCCACCAGCTCAAGGTTGACTCAGCCTTCCAACCTTCCGAGATCGGTAAAATGAAGACCCAGATTGTTGGGGTCAATATGCTGACTCTATAAATTGCTTAGAGAGGGCTGTAAAGCACTGTGAAATGGTATATAAGTCTGCTATTGCTATTGCTATCACAATCACATTTGTGGCCATGGGTGTATTGTAAAAATTACAACCTAGATGCTGTAATGATGGAAACAATGAAGATTGACTCTGCGTATCTTTTTTCTGTGATTATTCTAATTATGAACTAACATCCTAGCTATATTAATAGAACATACAGTATTATAAAACAGAACTGCACTGAAACTTCCTACAATGTATCTTTATCATATATAATAGATTTTCCAGAAAAAAGAGTTTCACATTCATTCCCATTTCCCTGTATACCTGGATCTGCCAATCCGGTTGTCTCTAGCAAAATGTAATCAAACTTCCCTTTCTTCTGCATCAAATTTTCAATTGCTTTCAAACCATTGTCTCTAATGAGAAAATTAAACAAACAGCAATATTTTTTATGTTACATTTATATCAAATTCTATATGTTGTGTGCGTAAAATATTACCTCACAATCAAGTATATATCCAGAAATATTGATTGTAAACTTATTAAATAAGTTTACAAAGTAATTGCAAATCTCATCATTAATTTGTAAATAATTAATTACAATTAATGTATAGACCCACGTTCATTTTAAAAGTTTGCTTCCATATATCTAAGTTTCTGCATTCTGTCTGTTCTCTTACATATTCTCTACATTATTTTAGATGAAAATTTTAAAAAGGAAGCTACTTATAAACACCCATTCTCTTAAAATAGATGCAATACAAATGACACTTTAATCTTAATTTTAATTTTAAGAACTCAATTTTATTATGATTTGCTAAAACATCTAGATCAGGCAGTTACAGCAGTCCAAGGTCATGTGATTGCCATCTGTAATCTTCCTATCTGGCTTTTAACAAGTAAAGTCAATAAGAGAAGCTGGATTCGCTTAACAACCCCATGACTCACTTAACAACTGGTCATAAAATTGGATATAATTCACTTAACTGCCTTGCTTAGCAATGGAAATTCTGGTCCCAATTGTGGTTGTAAGTACCTGTATAACAATACTAGATCTTCTCTAGCATAATTAGCCTTCATCATGAAAAATGCAGACTATAGTTTGAAATCAATATTAGAATTGACAATTTTACCAAATAAAAAATCCTTACTTTACTGAACAACAAAGACAGCCATTTCTGAGCTCCAGCCATTCTTCATAGAGTTCTCCACCTTGACTTATAGCCAAAGATTTTTCCAATGCACTACCTGAGAAAACAAGAAAAGTTATAATAAAAATAGTACTTTTATTGAAAGAAAATAAAACAGTGAAAGAATAATACATTTCAGGTTTTGGATGGGAAAGGTATCTTGACTTCCATTACAGATACGAGTCGTTTTTTCTAGGTTTGTTGAGAATGTGATGCTACAGGAGCCAGAAAATTAAGCCACACCCTAATTTTCCTGCACCTCTGTGTTGTTTATTAAATAGAACTAATTTTCTCAGTTGCTATACTTCATGTATCCCAATGTCATTATTCAAAAGGACAAACTTTAAATCACAGTCTTTAGATTACAGCCAGAGTGCATAATATTACTTCGAGAGGAAATTTTGCATCACAACTCTTAAAATGTGTGAATATAAATTAAAGGACATATTTTACATTTATGTACACACACAGGCTTCAACATGAAAGTTTGTTTTCCACTCACTTGCATTTTTACATACCTTCACCAAATTCATTTAAAATAACTGCTATTCTCTTGCTATGTTGTTCAGTCAAAATGTAATTAAGAAGAGTAGTTTTCCCAGCACCTAAAGAAAGAACAAATTTCACTAGAACTAAAAAGGAACAATGAAGTCCCATTCTTTATACTAAGGAGATATTTTGAGATACCATTCCAATAATTTTTTTAAAAAAATTCTAACCCCTCTAAGTTTTTAAACCAGCAATCGCCTATACTTGAAAAAGCAGAATTTGACTATGTATTTAGAAGTCTATTCTGAGACCATAATAATGAAATGTTTATGGACACTATAAAATACAACTGTATTTGTAATAGTTTCAACATTTTGTAAGATTTCCCTTCTTTTAATCTACTTAATCAACCAACTATAACAGAAGATGAAAATAAAACAAAAGGGACCTTCAGAAACATTAAAATATTGAAATGAATTTTAACATGTTTTGTACATTTTTAAACTTTGATTTAACACAGTTTCAAAATGCAATTTTTGGTTTATACATTTTCCTCAGATGTTTATGGTTTGAACTAGAGCCATTATCAGCAGACTCCATGTTCCTTCAACTATTACTTGGAAACAGACAAAGAAAAAGAATCTGGGTGCAGAAATAGCCCTGTTTAGAAACTGCCTTCTAACTCCCACTAGGAATACTAATGGTGAGTTTACACAAACCACTTAAGCCTGGATTGTCAAAATTTGCAATGCCACAATTACCTAACTATGATTACAAATTAAAAACCTTTTCTTTGGAAGTCATTAAACATGTATTTTAAAACCATACTTTAATTAATGTTTATTTTTAGTTAATTTTGCATAATTCTGAGGAATCAGGAATTCCTTGGAATTCTATTTCTATTTTTGAGACAGCCACTCATTTCTCATTTTTTCCACTTATATATGCAGTTTACTGCCAAAACTATAAAAAAAATATGTTACTGGCTTGCCCAGAAAAGTAAGGATAAATCTTATTAGCATTCTTTGCTTTGCATGTGCATGCCCGCCAAAACATGCAAACTGCTTCAATCAAATTTGCTGTAATTTCCTGGAGAGTTGCATACATCAGCTTGAAAATCTTTGCATTAAACTATAAAATAATTTTGTCTTGAATTAGTGTTTCATGTGACACAATCAGTATAATGTAAATGCAACTTAAACATTCTGGACTTGAGCTGTTGAATCTAAACTTGACCAAAACAATCAGACCAACAGGCCCCTGCTAGGAACTACTGTAATCACTATAACCATGGTGAAGGAAAGGCAGAAGAGGGATGATATAGTGGCTATCTCAACGTCTTAGGCCTTTAAGATGCTACTTTAATAAAAAATCACAGCCAGTCAACACTATCCACTAGCCAGCCCTGATAAGTTCTCAAGGAATATGTTATATCTGTGTTTCTCAAACCTTAGCAACTTGAAGATGTATGGATTTCACCTTCCAGAATTTCCCAGCATGCCAGCTGGAGAATTCAGGGAGTTGAAGTCCACACATCTTCAAGAGGCCAAGGAAGGGTAAGAAACACTGAACCATATTGTAATGTTCTAGAACAAGGGTCTCCAACCTTGGCAACTTGAAGCCTGGAGGACTTCAACTCCCAGAATTCCAGGCTTAAAGTTGCCAAGGTTGGAGACCCCTGTTCTAGAACATGGGAGAAATCTTGTAGGTCTTCTTACCTGAATATTTGAAATAAATATGTGAAGCCCACTATGCAAATAAGAAAAGTGATATCAGTGAGCTTGGTAAAATTAGGGTTAGCTTCCTTTCTCAGGACTTGAGCGTCCGCATAAGACTTTGGCTTATTCTTTTATGTTGAGGGACAGACATAATGCATTGACGGTTGAGTATGCTTGCCATATCATCACATCTTATCAAGAAATAAGCTCACAGAAAGGAGTATTTCTAATGAAGTTCATTTTAACCCTCAAATTATTCTGTAAATCCTGTTTTATATATTCTGCCAAGGAATAGAAGACACATTTATTACCTAAATATCCTGAGATGATAGTAACAGGAATCTTGCTAGGTTGAATGCCTTCTACATTATCCTTTATTGCTGGCTCCTTTATGGGAATCAATTCAGGGCAATCCTCTTCATCATCCATAAATGAACTTTCCATCTCTTGTCTGTCAAACAAAATATAACATTTAAGAAATACTATGTAAAATGTATCAGGTCTACACGTCTAAAATATTGAATACAGGAACTGAGAGGGATGGAGGAGGAGAGAAAAACAAATAGCTACATGTCTATTGAGATTCTCAGTCATCCAGGTCATGGTTGTCCCAAAGGTGCTTAAAGAGCTAAAACAGTTTCTTGGATGAAAAACGTTTTGTCTTCAAAGAAAAACCAGAAAGTCCAGTTGCCTCTTGGAAAAGCACCTTTGGGACAAGTAGCTACATTATTTGGTATACTGGTTTTTCTTTCCATGAACTTCCAAACAGGAGCGTCCTTGGGCTTCTCCCTCTTTCATCATAGAGAATGAGGAAAGCAGGTTGAACGCTACTTTTAAGTAACCATAATCACTTAAAGGAAGCCTGAAGATCAAATGTGGCTCATCATGAATAGCTTGGAAGAGGGCTTGACCTCAGCACTTTTCAAAGAAAAAGGATCAGAAAGACAATGAAGCAGTCAGATCATTTTATGCATTTTCAGAAAGAATGCCAACAGCTGTAGAAAACAGGAGACACCTTCATCCAGTTTTCCCTTGAGCTACAACAGCAAGGGCAATCCAACCTTGGTCATTTTTAGACCTGCGGACTTCAACTCCCACAATTCTCCGGCCAGCCATGCTTGTGGGGGAATTGTGGGAGTTGAAGTCCCCAAGTCTCAAAGTAGCTAAGGCTGGGACGTCCCCGAGCTAGAGACTTTCTGACAGACCGAATGGGACTGTTTCGCGCGAAACTGAAGAAATATGACAGTAAAGCACCACGCGAACCGAGGAAACCTATTTAACCCCATCGAGCTTCTCTGTAAACCCAGATACACATCGATAATGCTCACGTTGGGGTTAATTCAGCAAGGCAACCAATGCATTTCTAAACTCCCCCCGACCAACGCGTTTCTTTTCTAACACCTCCCCCCTACACACACACACTTCCGCTTACCGCCGGTGCTTTGGCTCTCGCTGAAGTAACTCCTCCTCTCGTCTGACAAGTTCCTACCCTTATTACGCATGCGCTCCTTTGTTTCGTGCGCTGATAGATGCAACCTGTTACCCTGGCGGGGTTTCTCCTCTTCCTGCATTCAACCGTATAAACAGTTTTGAGTCGGCGTAAGGTACCAAAACGGAGCAGAGGGAGGAAGACTGAATTTCAAGACCGCCCGAGCTGCTCAAAAGCTTCCACTACGATACCTAAAGCGAAGCTTTTGTTATCTCTAGCCAGGGAGTAATAGGTATTTTTCTCTGCATTCTGCGACAAAGGCTATAGGGCGGATTATAACAAATGGATCAGAGTAACACGTTTACCTTAATTGCGCATCTATTAAGCCAGGGGAAAGACCAGCAAGACCAGGCTTTTTAGATTCCAAACATTACATTATGATTGAACTGTAAGCAGTGGACATTATTTTACAATACAGCAGCCCATACCGTGGCTTAAAAATACGTCTGGTTCAATAAATTAGGAGTTCCCAAATTGCTTGATTGTGTTGAAATCAATCTAACGATTGCACCTTGTTTCAAAGTACAGAAAAATTGATTTCTTTACAAAGAATCGGGAAATAATCACAGAAGTGCAGACTACTCTTAACATTACTATTTCAAAAAGGATACTAAGGTGAATTGACCTTTTCCACATGGTTCTGTCATATTGTAAAAGCACTCAGACACACAGATGGCAAAAGTGGTTTATTGCTGATGTGTGGCAAGAACAAAGATTGCATAGAATTACACTTGTTCAATTTATTTCATAGTTCCTCTTCAAGTGTTCATATGAGCTGTGCTTAATTCCTGTTCCTGATGAGAAGCAATATTAATAAATCATGACAATATTTTTATCAATACATATTCTCACAGAAAAGCACTACCACTGTTCAAAATGTGTGGGCAGAAGCCGCAAAATGAATCAAGCTCAAATTTGACATGGCAGATTTATAGGATTGCAATTTCATTATTCTCTTATCAACAAGATCAACCTTTTATTTTCTAACAGCAAAAGCTTTTTTTTTTTTAATGTCTTGGCGCCTTTACTGCACGAAACTTTTTTTCTTGTATGTTCCTCATTTCTTTATGGAACAAAAAAGGCCAACCATCTGCCATGTATATACATGTATTACAAACAGGGAAGGAAACCAGCGACTCAGTCTGAGCTCTCCCTCACTGCCCAGCATACTGAAGAAATGTCAAATACTTAAAAGGTCTTGGGTTTCATAAATGGATAAGTACTGATCTGTTCTGTTTCTGAGCTAGCTAGAAGAAAAATGCATAGCAGGATCCTTAAGTTATTTGTTTTTGAGAAGTTCAGTTTGTAGTCGGATTACTTTGAAATTAGTTGCTCTGATTCTGGAGGGGAAAAAATATCCATGTGGAGCCCAGAATAATGTTGATTTTTTTTTCTTGCAGTTGCCATTGCTTATGAACCCCAAACAGCTGCTCCACAGGTTTCAGGGGACTTTCAAATAATATATTATTATAGGGAAGACCACTAAGCAGAAGTCTGGTTAATGGGCTTTCCCAGCAGCTATCAGTGCTGGCTTGCCCTGGGAGGGGAGGGGGAGAATAGGTTGGAGGTAGAATCCTAGACCTTTGCAACCCACAAGAGGGTCCCACCTACCTTCAGTCTATTGCTTCCAGATTCAGGTGTACTATATTCGTTTCAATCTTTCATGGTGGAAAGATTGGGGTGTATGCAATGATAATGCCCAAGGTCCACAGTAAAGCATAAAAGAGGTGCTTTCCTATTATGAGATTCATGTTCAGAGGAAACTTATGTTCAGAATAATCTGTTTTTATGACACAGAATGAACTAGAAGTTGGAGGGAGCTTGCTTTTTCTAACCCCGCTGCCTGCCACAAAAAAACATTCATCTTGAACTATTTCTGGGACTAGAGAGGAAGAACACTCTGCTCCCAGACAGGAACAAGGACACTGAAATTCTGTGCACTACTAGGTGCTGTAAAGCAGGGGTCTCCAACCTTGGCAACTTTAAGCCTGGCGGACTTCAACTCCCAGAAAATAAATATATAAATATACATATGCAGGCATCTATTCACAGATCTTGATCCACTTCAGATTAATAATTTTCTTTTGTATTATAATCCAGTCAAAGCAAGGATGTTTATCTTTGTTCACTGAGTGTCTCTACATACTCAGTTTGTTCAGTTTATTCACTAAAGCAGTTATGAAATCCAGTAGGTTGGTGGTATGCTGCGTCACTACTACTGTAATCCCACTGCAACCAGAGAGGGCAGTGAACATGGGTAATATCAGTACTGGACAAAAAAGGTTCTTGCTCCAAGCATTCAAAAGAAAAGTACTGTAGCTATTAGATATTCTGGATTTTTAAAAAATTGCCCTCCTTTTTTATTGTTGTAAAATGGACCTAATTCAATGTCATTTTAATTGCTCCTTTTTGTTTCCAGATTCTTTTCCCAGATCCCATGGCAGGCAAAGGGCATGGTTTACGTACAACACAGCAATAGCAATAGCACTTAGACTTACTGTATGTACCACTTTATAGTGCTCCACAGTCCTCTGTAAGCGGTTTTATAGTCAGCCTATTGCCCCCAACAATCTGGGTCCTCATTTTACCCACCTCCGAAGGATGGCAGGCTGAGTCAACCTACCATATCTAGATTTGCTCTGGTAATCTATCATTAATTTGTTCGCCTTTGACTGTCTCAGTGCTCAACTCTTAATTCAGAGGCTTAGGTGCCAAGTTCAAGTCACTGGTGTTGACTTGGGGTTCAATGTGTGGTGCAACTGCTTCCTAACAGTCCATCTCAATAGATGAGAATATTTGTAGCTCAGGGTGGTGCTCTCTAAGATTGGTTGTTGGGTTTTTTTACAGACATTTCATTACCCAGCTAGGTAACATCATCAGAATTACAAGGGAGTTAGGTTTCTAAACAGAGACCAAACCTCACTCCTTTCTAGCACTGATGATGTTACTTAGTTGGGTAGTGAAATACCTGCAAGAAAACTTCCAAGCTCAGAGAGCACCAAGGATCCCAACAACTTTTCTCAAGTCTCACCTCTTGGAGTCACTAAAAAGGCCACCTTCTGCTTTGACTGAAACCCGGAGAGACAACTCCGAATCCTCTTAAAGCGTCCCTGAACTATGTCCACAAATGGAACTTCCCGCAAGACTGGCTGGCACTCGATTTAAGCGCAGCAAGAGTGACATCTACCGCACTTTTAACCGACCCGCAAGGGCGCTTGGCACAGGCCCGCAAGCCAGCCAATAGTTGGAACTTCGACTGCGAACGACTTTGCAAATTGTTAATAAGAATGCAACAACCGTGGAATCTCAACGGGGTGGCGTTTCGTTGTAGGACGTTTGCAGGGCCGGAAGGGAGAATAAAAATACATGAGGAAGCAGGTTTGGTCTCAGCGCCTCTCTTCCTCAACCCTCTTCCTCAACCGGGTCTGTGGGGCTTTACACTCCCGTAGCAGCCAGCCCTCATACAAGCAGCTTTTAAAACCGCTTTTCGCCTAAGCGAGGCGAGATTCAAATATTTATTGAAGCGGCCGTTCTCAACTTCTTGTTCTTGGGTTCTTCCTCTTGCAAGTTCCAACTCGGGCTGCTAGGCGTCGAAGCAAAATGTGAGGTTGGCCTCAGGGATGCGGTTGTTCTCGGCTGTTCTAGCCTCAAAGAAATGCCAGATTTCCCCCAATGCCGGGAAAGTGAAAACGGCGCCTGCGGTGCTCTTTTTTTTTTTAAAAAAAAAGGGAACCCAAAGTGGCATAAGCGTCCCGGGATTCTTACCACCTCGCGCCTCTCAAGACCGAGCAGAGCTCATTTGCGCCCATCCTGAGTTCCTTGTAAGAAACTGCTGCGCCCTCCCCATTGGCTGCTTTTCGACGAGGAAGGTGTGAAATGCGGAAGTTTTCCGCGCCGAATTGACAGCAAGCCCCGGCTCGGCTGCCTGCCTTGTTAAGTGAGCAGTCGCTGCCTTTCTTGGCAACCCTCCATGGCTACTCTGCCCAGTGCCGAGCGGAGGGCCTTTGCCCTGAAAATCAACAGGTAGGCTTCGTTTCCTTGCGCTTGTCAGGAGCTTTATTTTCTCCTTGCCCTTCACCGGCTCCGCGAGTCGAGCAGCTTTTTTTGCTGGCGCTCCTGGAGGCTGATTGGGTGGAGTGGGAGGAGGAACGGAGAACCGCGGCTCGAGCAGTGAGTAAAGGGTATGTGTGAGGAGGATGAGCTGCGGATCTAAGGAGAGAGCCATGCGCCAGTGTGTAGAGACACTCACGTTCAAGGATTTTTATTGTGGCCGTGTACAGAACTCCCCTATGCTTGGATCACTTACCACTTTAGCATTTTTAAACTCTACTATAGCAAAGGTGTTCAACCTTGGCAACTTTAAAGACTTGCGGACTTTTAACTCCGAGAAGGCTGGCTGCGGAATTCTGAGAGTTGAAGTCCACAGGTCTTAAGAGTTGCCAAAGGTTTGGACACTCCTGCTGTAGAGTTTACAGTTTCTTCCTTTGGAAAGCACCCTCCCTGATAAATAATTATGCAAAGATGTTATTTGTATAGGAAGTTATTTGCTATGTAAAACATCTTTATAGTTCTGGCAAGCAGAACAGGCCAAGTGTTTGGTCAGAACTTGCTCTGAGCCTGTTTATAATACTATCAGCAAATCTTTAACAGAATGTTTTACTTCTTTAAGATGACTTAATTTGGAATAATTCAAAAGACTTCTTGGGAGTTTTCCTATGACATGCGTACTCGGTATATTGAGACTTTCTTCAGCAGTTCAACTCTGCAATTCACAAATCAGTCATTTTGCCCTTTTTTTTAAAGAATTCCTCTAAATAAATAGATAGATAGATAGATAGATAGATAGATAGATAGATAGATAGATAGATAAGAAAGGATTAAGCTAGAGGCAAGACAGTGAGGAAATAACATGCAGTTTGTGGTTACAGTGTGTCATGTCTTATGGTTTGTGCAATTGCAGAGCAGACAGAAATTTAGTGCAGACTTTTATTAAACACAACTAAATAAGATTGACTTGCT